AATGAGTGAAATGAAAGTTTTAGGGAGAAACTTAGCTGTAAACAAAGATTTCCGAATCGTCTTTCCTTCTGTCGGCCTTTTCTATCATGCATGAGATATTTACTGTTCGACACTAGAGAGAGAGAATGGTGTTTCTGCATATAGCCCAAGAATACTAGAGAGACTCGAGAGAAGAAAAGAGTTTGAGGAAATCTTTGTTTACACCTGAGTTTCACCCTAAAACTTTAATTTAACTAATTGTATTTTCACTGCAACAGAAATGCGCGAAATAAAGGAGCTTGTTTTCATCAGTCTGATCCACAATGTAGACTCTACAGGCTTTTTCTATACAAAAACCAGTGGCGGAACCAGAATTATTCTTTGATACGTGCGCTATATGATAATAGTAGGAGATACGTGCGGTCGTCATAGAAACAAATTATTCTAAGAGAGTTATGCTTAGAAAAAAACAGTTTATTGGTTAAAAGGTACGAGTGGCCGCCCGCGGGCTGGATCCGCAACTTTAAAACGTTTTGAATATTTCCTTTATAAAGATGATGCATCATCGTTAGACTATGCATAATTATAAAACAAAAGAAAGTACGAATTGATTGTCTAATCGATATGTGTATTTATCTTTGAACAAGTTCAATTTAGTGATAGTTAAAGTGTGGGAATTGTACGCGACTTTATCACGATACAACACTCACACAGACACACACTTGGACACTTAAAACAAAAACAAAATTCGTTATCATTATCATCATGATCATTTGTTGAAAACACACATACGCAGCAGTGAAAACAACGACAACATCATCATCATCATCTTATAATATGCTCTCACTTATTGATATGAATTAAATCGATTGCCAATTTAAGTGTTTCTTAAAAAAACATTGATTGTACTGATAAAACACAAAAAACTGCTAAAATTTTGATGTTTAACTTCATGGGAGTATATGAGACTAAGAAAAATACGTATTGAAGCGTGCACACCATGAACTCAATTTTCAAGGTTTATTTTTCACTAATAAGATGTTTTATTTGATTATCGAAAAGTGCTGTGATGTTTGAAGATAGACGTCGCGAATATAATTTCTGCAGACGATGAGATCATAATAACAAATCGTCTTTAATTGATTATGACTCGATCTAATAGAAGGAAGGGAGAGCAAATAAGAATAGATAAATATCTAGACTGGTCAAACACATAGAAATGAATAAACTGTTTTTTACTAAATGATATGCCAAATTAAAACAGCAACGACTGACAAAAATAAAGAGAAAACTCTTTACTCGTGAGTGCTTAAAGTTGAAGTTAGTTTCTCTTTTCGAAGGTGTCCTCTCAATTCGTCCCCAATTAGCTTTGTAAGATCAACCAACATCAAAGGTGACATCAAAAGTGAGTATGAGCAATTAGGGATGAATAGAGAGTAAATCCTTTTCGAGTGATAGATAGGAGGAAAAAAGCTTAATACTATCATTTTATGTGAAAAAATTAACATCATGGACTTTTTATCCAATGCAAATTTGATGAGGTTTAAAACAATATACAGATCCAGGTAATATTCTATACACAATTGTTATTTAAAATACGATCAAAATGAAATAATACACATGTGTGTGTGTGTGTGCTGTAATCCAATCGATAGTTGAAACGGTCTAATGATTGAAAAAAGTATTGGTCCGTCTTCTTAATCTTCTTTCAATTTAAAAAATCAGTGCTGTAATTAAAGCATTCTATTTTTCCATAAGCATATAGAGAATACACGAATCTTTTCAACATAAATATTTTTCTTCTCTTTCACCTAAACATTCTATCTTTCACCTGCATTATTTTCAATATTCGTGATATTGGTGTATCTGTTACTAAACAATTTTGTTATTCGTGCACATCGTCGCATATCAAATATCTTCTCTTGCTATATACAAAAAAAAAAAAAATATATGAAAGATTATTTAACGTTGTCTAAAACACGTTTCCATTTTCATCTGTTCTTTATTTTCAAATATAATAAAACTATTTAAACTATAAACACATGAGAAAAGATAGAGGCGGTACAAACAATTTAACATCGTTTGTACATATCTAATTGATTAATAGTAACGGTCAAATAAAATACAATGGTCAACAAACAAATCAAATTGAGAGAATAGAAATAGGATAAAATAATTATGTTTATTAACAGATTCAGTTTATTGTGCAAATTTGTACATGATGTTATCGACAATAATTCTTATATGTATATATCAAATACACATGATAATACCCATAAAAAAATAACATCGCACCAAGACTTGAATTGTAACCGACTGAAAACATTGGAAGCACAAATCAGCAGTAGATCGGTAAAAATCGGTGATTTTTCGAAGTTTTTCGAAAAGTAGTAAGCGTAAAAGTATGTACTTCAAAGAATTTCAAAGGCGTCCGCGACGATATGAGAGTGAGTCTTCGACGAAACGGGAACCGTCAAAGAGAAAATAATAGAGATAGTTTGTTAAAAAACATACTTCATGTACAAGGTTAAAGTTTTGTACTGACTACAGCTTCAATTAGAAAGCTTTTCTATGTTTTTCATGTTGTTTTTGGCAAAAAAACATCCGGAAACAAAAATTTTTTTTAATTATAAATTGGTGAATATCGGCTGACTGAAAAATTTAATCGGATCGATTACCAGTCAATCGGCCGATCCGATTACAACTCTGATCAAGACTGCTTTAGAGCGCTAGAATTTCTCTTTTCTTTTTGTATTACAAGCAGTGCCGTGGCAACAGGAACACTGTGACGGGATGTGTGCCACTCTGCTTTTCAAAAATACTTTTCTCCCAATAATTCCGTGTGACCTTTTGCCCAAATTCGGTGGCGAATCGAGTCAGTATTGAACAGAAACATGCTTGCTCCTACCCTTTCTTTAAAGACAGAAAAAAAGCTCAAATTAATCTCAAGATTATTGTTATTACTTTTTATGTTTTTCTCTCAAAAGTTTATATCCTCGCTGCTGTTTTCTCTCACCACGATACCTATTACAAGCTCAACGTCTCCTTAGACAAGTCATTATAAGAAAGTCGGCTAAAATTTAGAAATTAAATTGTAAGATCTGGAAAATATACAAACAAAATAATGTCTGCTGAATGAATATTTTATTGTATCAACGTTTTTTCTTTCTTTTTATGAAAAATTAATAAATAACCAAGTACATATGGGATGCTTCGCAGTTAGTAACAGTCTGAATCATTTTTCTTTGATAATTTATCATCACGTCTGAGACACCTGCTACTATTGCATGAGACTAAATATATACTATAAAGTCGCATATATTGATGTACCCAACATGATTACCAATAAATTATAGAAACAAAGAAAAATGTTGTGTGTGTGTGTATGTGCTTTTTTTGTTCCAATTAGATATAGTGTGACATTACAAAAAAAATTGACGTGTTTAACTAACAGTAAACAGGATACTATAATATGCAAAAAAAAGGGAAGAAAAAAAAGTCAGTTTATGAGAATACGTGCAACTGTGTGTATGCATGTATGCGCTCGTTCTTTCTTGCGCTTTTTTATTTTTTTGTTTCAATAAAACATCCTGCTGAAAACAACAAATATATGGATATTAATATTAATACTTCTAAATAGTAATATGTATATATACATTCTTTTTTTTTTCATCTATTTCTCACGTATCTATCACTACGTACATTTATATATATATATATTGATACTCTCTCTTTTCTATTGGTTACAATAAGTGAAACAGAACCAATCGAAATTAGTTATTTAAAAAACCAATGAGACATATATTATTAGTCGATGATGATATACATAGTATCGAAAATGTAGTCTTTTTTTACTGGTGTAACAAAGGAGAAGAAAGAAAAAAAGAAATAGATATGCTTAGTGTTGTCAAAAATAAAAATAATGTTTCGATGCGATAAAAACAAAACTTTTTAGTTCTGAGCATCTATGTTTCTCACGTCATTGCTTGTATCACTTTCTTTAATGGTTTATTCTTTCTTAAGTAGTAGTTAGTTGTACACTGAGTAAAGTCATTTTTATCTTTAGAAAACGGTAAGTATAGACAATACTTTTCTAATTTTTAAAATAGAGTGTATCAAGTTATAAATGAGATTTTAAAAATATGGAATATGTTTCAAAACATCCAAAAAAGCCTACAAAGAATAATTAGAGCATTTAGCAAGCTCTCTCCTACACCACTCTTTGACACATAAGTTTAAGTATTGAACTTGAAACGTTTGATTCTTTTGCTTTGGAAAAAGGTCTCAAATGTGTTGTTCTCAACTTTCCATTTTTCTCGCAATTCGATCTATGACCGGGCCCCGAAACTTTTTCTTGGGGGGGTCAGTAGACATTTTAGAGTGGTACAATTAAGCATTGTTCTTTTTTTTTATTTCGAATTTTAAGAAAATACACTACTGCGTAATATAATTCTTCGCATGGCAATAACTGCTTATTGTCCTTGATATTTTTCTCCAGGGGTGCAATTGCCCCTAATTGCTCCGCTGGTGACCCGCCAATGATTCGATCGAAAACCTATAGAGAATACTGTTTGCTTGAGCAATGAGAACGAAATGAGTAGCACAAGGTTGTGGACGGCAGTGTGCAACAGTTTTCCATAGTGTTCAAGAATGAATTAATTATTTGACAGAAAATTGCATTCATTGATATTCTTACAATGTGTACTAATTCACAAAAATCATTCGTTTGAGGAGAAAAGCATGCAATTGAGTCAGTTAAGCATTATTATTTTCTTCAGTATCTATTTTCTGCATGAATATCTGGTAGATATACATGTCGTTCATTTCATGTTATAAGAAAAAATATAATAATACAATCGTTGTAATCTTTTTTACTTTTTAAAATATTTTCTATTTTTACATTTTAGAGTTAACTATGAATTCATTAATGTCTTATCAATTGAATGAACAACGTGGAGGTTCGTAGATAAATGACTAAAAAACGAAATTTCAGTCTTTCATAATTTTACGTTTTGATTAGAATGAAAAGTAATGTTCTTAGTAATTCTGAAAACTCAGATATTTTTATTTTATTTTAGTTCGTCGACCGAAATGTGCGCGATGTCGTAACCATGGAATGATATCATGGTTAAAAGGTCATAAACGTCATTGTAAATTTCGTGATTGTGCATGTGCTAAATGTAATCTGATAGCAGAAAGACAACGAGTAATGGCAGCACAGGTAAGAAAGAAAAAGAGTGATTATATCAGTTAAAAGATATCTCGGTTTCAGGTTGCTTTGAAACGTCAACAAGCATCTGAAGATGCTATTGCCATTCGTGTAAGATGCTTATCACCGTTTGGACAATTACCTGCTGGTCCTGTTTGGGGAAATGTATCATCATCATCAGCAACAAAAGACGAAGATGCAATGGATGAAGAAAAAACAGGTAGAGACAACATTCAGAGTCATACAAACTATGTACAGATGATATTCTTAATAAGTGAAAAACTAAATTTTCACTGTGTTAAAACTTTTCGAAATAGATTCTAGTTTAACGAAGGACAGGGGCACTTGGGTCCTAATAGGAGTTTTGTATACCACAGTTAAGAGTTTATTAACTGAAAGCAAAAAACAACGAGTAATGGTTAGCTGTTCTCTTTTAAAAGTCTTATCTGGCATCCATATTAACTACGTCTCTTTAAAATTTGCTGAAATGTATTGGTTCTTAATTTTCTTTTAATACAACGTGATTTGCGTTCTAGAAAAACGTCCAACATCGTCAAATTCACCAATAGATTATAAATCACTTGATTCTATTTCTCCAAAAGGAAGTAGTCCAAAATCAAAAGTTGGTGAATCTATTAACGGAACAATAACAAATACATCCGATATAGATTCTGAAGATGAAAATAACTATTCATCAGATGCTGCTGCTCCAGGCCACTTATCTTACATTGAATTACTTGAACGCCTATTTCCGATGCAAAAACGTTCAGTTTTAGAGCTTGTGTTAAATACATGTCATAACGATTTAGCTAAAGCCATTGAACATTTTGTGGCACTTAGTGATAATATAACAACAACGCAACATCAGCATCAGCAGATACAAGCAACATCGACATCAAAATCGGCATTTACTCCGATCAGTTCATTATCAGCTTTTACTGCAGCTGCATTTGATTATCGGCCAACAATGTATTTGTCTCATCGTGATACTCAACAACCACATCAGCACCACACGTCCTATCCGCCACCATTATCATTTGTTACACCAGGACTTTATCCACCACCAAATTTTTTACATTTTACACATGCTGGTCAAGCAGCAGCATTAGCCTATGCTTCGGCAGCGGGAGAAAAACTTTCCAAACGACAAGACATTTTATGTTCACTAAAATGCGATCGCTAAACTTTTTATATTTCACCTATGATCATCATTTTAAACGGTCTTTTTCTTTCTTGCTTTTTTTACATTACCAGTTTAATTGTATTATAATCATCTATAATAAGTGGATATACAGGATAAATTCAAATTAAATCATATTCAAAGTTGAATATAGAACGCCTAATCCGAACCCTCACTTGTTATGTTAAAGAGGTTTTGGTGTAGGAGAGAATTTGTTTAAAGTCTGTCTTCTCTCAATTAAAATGACCCATAATGGCATTTCTTGAACATAACATTACTCATTGACCTGCAATCCGTATGTCATTATAGCAAAAGATAAATGAAATTTTAGTTAAAAAAACGAACAAGTAGTTTGATGCTTTATTCGTGTTCCGGCTAATTGTTCTATTAAAAAAATAAACAACTCTGATGTTATGTGCATGTTTAAACTAACTTTATCCTCTTCTTGATCAACCTTATAAATCACAATTATTATTTTTCATCTAACTAAAGTTCCCAGCCTTTAAATATGCACTGTATGTATATATATCAATATTTTCTTTTTTATGTTAATAATAGAGGTGTCAAAACAGGATATTAGAATATTTTGTCATCATGCGGTTACTTTTTCTTTGATTCCAAGTGGCTGCGATTTACTCAAAATATACATATTTTACTATACTGTACATATATATGTTATTTTCTTATTTTTTTATATGGTACCATTGCTGCTTCCAGCGTAGTTCATTAGTAAATCAACGTATGTATGTGTATGATGGTGATGATGATGTTGTTTTATCTCCTAAAACGTTTGATTTAGTTTATTTATGTAGAGATCATGATAATTTTTCTTACAAAATCTAAATAGCACCTTATTGTCTCAAGCTGTTGGGCACAGATCAATTGCTCTATTACGAATAACATTTAACGAGTATAATGTGAGAATATAGTGACCATCGCTATTAAAACATATGTATAACCTTTTCTATGTTAGCTAGAAACATATAGAAAAGTTTTTCCAAGTATTTTTATCTTACTTAGTAATTTGAATAAGAAAATGGGAAGAAAAGAGACTCATCAATTGTTTTGATGCCATTTTCATACGGATATTCAATGAAAAATAAAATATTTGTCATTAGCTACTCATCAAATTTTTGTAAATAGTTCGATGTTAGAGTAGGCAGTAAACTCTCATTTCATTGAATATCTACTATCATTTTCTTTAGACTTTTAGCACGTTTAATAACAGGTTGTCAACTTAATAAAAAAAATATATACTATAGTCTAACTTGTTTCTATGGTCATAATCTTATTGATCGGACTTTATTCACGAACTAAAACGTTAATAGAGAAGCTAATAAAACGAAAAACATTAGTCTATTGATCATCTAATTCTTGTTCAAATAAATATTTTTTTTCTACTTCTACTAGTCTCAGATATATGCCATCTATTACTGTTGTATTTGTCAAATTAGTGTTGTATATGTACACGAAAAAATAACATATTGGCAAATAGAACCATTTATCTGATCGAAAGTCGATGCTTTCTAACACATTTCATGTTGACAGACAGATGAATATTTCTAACAAAATTATTAACTTTGTTGCACTACACTATAGTACAGCGCTTGTTGAAGAACCTTCTCCAAAATACTGATTGATTTCAAAGCTTCCATCATAGAGATATATTATATTCAAATATCTAAGAATATCCTCTTTCAGAATCTTTATTAAGTTGGTACAATCCGCTCATCTTTTTTTTCATTTATCAAAAAAGTTTTCCAAGAGTCCGCATACTATTTTCTAGGGAATACGTGTAAGTATTTTAGTAAGTCTTTTTTCGATCAAAAGATTTAAATAAAAATGTATAAAATTTACTTCAAGTTTTGATAAGACGGCAGATTTCGTATAGAAAACAGCTATGTTCTTGAAACATCAAATTCAAATGTTTGACGCAAGGAGAAATTCAATTTGTACCTAATATTATTGTTTCCAACAAAATTAGATTAGTCTAGATGTGGTCCATAGACTAGTGCAAGTGAGCTCATTTCAATGTCTGCATCCTTTTGTGGTTGGATATTATCATGTCTGTTCAATATTATGTTTCTTCAAGTAGCGCGAATATTGTCTGTTAAATATATTTTCTTAATACCTTGCAGATTGTACAGATGATTAAAATTGAGTTATTATGCGATACGATTATAAAAACACCTATCGTGATCCGAATGGTCAATATTATCCGTGCAGTGGTCAGGGACTTTATCAAATTGGATGGTGAAACCTTCAAAATCGTTTGTTCGATCGAAAGCCTGTACTGCCCTCTGAGGAATAGTTCAAGTACGTTTACTTAAGAGAGACCCTCGTTTTAAAAAAGAATCATCTTATGATATGTACCTCACTTTTTTTTTCGGGTTTTACTTCAAGACGGACGAACTTATTCATCTTATTATTCAGAGAAATCAATTATCCTATCTTGGTTTGTATTCATCACTCTTTATACCGAAAGAACATTTTGAAAACAAATCATTAAATTGTTTTTTCTACAGTTTTAATCACTAAGGTAGCTGGAAACTTTGCTCGATACAACTATAAACTCCCTTTAGCTTCTAACTGCAACGAAAATGAGACAGATTCATTATGAATCAAATAGCAAAAACCCGCTTTTAAACACTTCGGTTTTAAGAGCTGATATTTACTAGATATGTTGCATGTATCAAAATTAGGATACAGTTGAAATTTGGTTTTGCTAACCTGTGTAGTTGCAAAGATATTTACTTCTTTTGAATTAATTCCCTCCATGAATTTCCTGTGTTACACTGGCATCCCCGAGTTGAAACTCAGTACTTATACACACACAGTGTTGATTTAATAACGATTTCTTAGTTCAGCTTTAAACAATTTTATTTTCAACAGGCGTAATTTTATGAAATTTTATTTTTAGTTAAAAGATTAGAATTTTCCAATAGCCAAAAAGCAAAACAGAACATTTGAAACAAAGGAAAGGACTTGTTTTCAACATCTCCAAACTGACGACGTTATTATAAATATTTTTGAAAAAACGAACACTATTATTTCTCTTAGAACGAGCGCATTAATCAAAGGGGTATATAAAGAGTGCATTAGAAATTTTATTTGTGGATTCTATTATTCTCTTGCTTTGACACCTGAGTAGAGACCTGCAACCCGACCTGAACCCGACCCGACCCTAGGGTTAAGATGCTGTCGGGTCGGGTCGGGTTCGGGTTGAATATTTGGCGACGCAATTTAAAATATAAATAACATTTTTAGCTTTGTATTACTGGTTGAAAGTTATCTCTACTGGAATATCCAGTTGAAAGACTTGTTTCAGAACAACTGCATTCACTAAGTCGATTAATGATTGCTTTCTTTGCACATAAG